TTCCTCCTCTTTTTTCCTCTCCTCCCCCTCTCTTCCTTCTCTCACTTTTCTTTCCTCCTTCATTTTCTCCCTTTCCCTTTTTCGTCCTCTTCCTTCTTCTCTGCGAACTTCTTCCCTGCGTCCTTCTTCTTCCTCTTGCCTTTGCCTTTGCCTTTGCCTTTCCTCCTCTTCCTTATTCCTCCTGCTCATCCTATTTTTTCCACATTCTCTTTCTTCTTTCTTCTCCTATTCCTTCTTCTTCCTCTACTCGTAGTACATTTTCTTCTCTTCTTTTTTATCCTTTTTTACCTTCTTTTTGCAAATAACGAATGCTCTGTTTTCGGTGCTCGTATTTGGCAAAACCGTTTTTCCAATTAGCTCGTATGTATTCAAAGGTTGCCACTCTAGGACATTCATGATCAGCCCATTTCTCGCGCAATTGAATTGGGAATTTATTTAACATTGTATACACACGACAAGGAAGTCTTCGTTTTAATCTAGTTGCACCTGGGCCGTGCCATGTCCTCGGCTCCTTGCTTACAACCCTTGGGCACAAAATATAAACATTCGGCAAGTTATGTTCCTAGTTGTCACTCTTTCTTAATTTAATTCATACTTTCAGTCCATAGCTTGTTTAATCCGCGTGAATTTGATCGGAGAGGTCAACAGAAGCTATCGACCAGAGCAGCCGTTCCCTAGGACTCCCATCCAGATGGGGTCAGCCGACATCTAACTATTTATCTGGACTTGAAATTTTTCCTGTCCTTCCACTCGGGTTTTAGCTACAAGATCTTCTTGATTAGAGGTTTAGATATTAGAATCAAGGAATTTTCGGAATCGATGCGCAATTTTAGGTTAAAGAGAGACGCGCTCTTGTTCAAGGTCAATTGATTTGTCCGAATGAAAATTCTGACCACTGATTTTCTTCTCTCGTTTCACGATATTCAGTCTATTCCCTGGAAGACGTTATTTTTAATAATATGGATATTCAAGTATGAATATCAAACTATTGGTTCTTGTATGTTCTTGCGCATTACATGACACTGAGTAACACAACCCTTGCACGAATAGTTCGCATACATGATGGATATTAAACTATTGATAATGTAAACCTTGTCTTACTTTAGTAAGTCTTACTTATGTAAGCCTTTGCTTACTGTCACTTCCACCATCGACAATATTAGGTTAAGTGCGTAATATAGCAGTTGTCTACATTTAAAACTAAATATTAGGTCTAAATCTCGAAGATTATATTCAATATATTTCTCCTTTGCTTTGCCATCACTTGGCTCTTAATGCTTTTCAAAGGATGTCCACATTATGGAAAAACGGGTGCTCAAAATTGTCCACGGAGACAAGCAGCACGTTCTGTTCTTAGCATTTACACATCCCGTGGACTGTGTACCTACGCAAACCGTCCATTTACAACGTACACTCCACTTCACATTGCACATACGCTCTTGTTCAAACTCCAGGAGTTGACATGCGATGCTATCGTTATCTTGTTGAACTCTCTCGGTTAGCACTCGAAATCCGCAGTTCAAAATACTGTGAACAGTGAGAGCAGTTGTTCAAAAGACTGTGATTTTATATTTAAATTAATTCCATGGCTATGAGACGTTTCGGCATAAAAATGAAGAATTCTTTTCCGATGGTTTACCTTAATAATATATTTAAATGTGTACATAAATAAAGAACATCATTTTTAAGGAGCACAATGTGCCGAAACGCTAATAGGAGTACCTCGAATGTGGAAGTTGATAATTAAAATTACTTGCAAACATATTCTTTCATTCTTCGTGCTGAGTAATTAAATTTTAGGTCGCCAAATTATTCATCGGGAGTTTCAGATGTGCCTTCTTCCGTTGCGTTGATGAACGTAAAAACATATGCTATTATTATGCTATTGCGTTTATTTCCTCAGTGCACTTTTTCCGAGATCAGTGATTCGTAGATATTCGATTGCGCTGTTATTACTCAACTTATGTTATTGTAAAAGGTGGATATCATTGAAATCATTTGAAAGGGAGAATCCTTTTACTTAATTCTTTTTCAATATCCGTTCGTGAGGGATCTGTTTCGCAATTCTTCGGATTTTATTGTTTCTTGTCTCGAGACGATCATTGATTCCTCAATTGATAGGGAGCAACTGCCCATGAAATGGTCACGTCTCAGTGAGTCCCGTTGTGCAAGTCTCACGAAATGATTCTTTCCATATCATAAGAAATTGCGGCTGCGAATGACGTTAGACTGTGAAAAATGACTTAATAATCTGCGTCGATTAGTGACATTTAAGACAGACAAATGTCAACGTGAAAGGAAATTTCAGGTTTCTTCGTAACAGTTAAGTATAAATCGTGTTAGTGATGAGTTATGATCCCCATAAAATGTAGGCAAATACTTAAGATAGAGAAACACAGTGTCGTAGCAATTATCGTACACACCTATATGAGAGGTAATGGAGTGAAATGTCAACGTGAGTGTGGCTGTAACCTGATATGTATTTCAGTCACGAAAATAATAAGCATTGGTCGCTTTCATCTATTATTTTGCTGAGGACATTTCTGCAGGGTTTAGGAAGATGCGGTACTAAAGAATCGGAAGATTCCAGCTTCAAACATGTAAGATAAACATTCCCAATGTTCTGCAAATAATGGTCCACTATCGTTGCCGAGTGTAAAAGGTGGAATTGTTAGCGGGTGTCGAATTATTCCGCCTGACGAAACAGTGCGTCGCGAAACAAAAGAAGCGTGGGAACCCCTGTCTCAATCTTTGTAACACGAAAACGAGTGCAGCTTCAGTGTCTCCGAACCCCGGCAGTGGGCGCGGTGCCTCCGATCTCCGCCGAGCCACCGTAGCTTCCGCGCCCCACACAGATGGCGCGAGCGGCGCGGGCGCACGCGGCGGGAGCGGCTCGCGTAGTTGCGGCGGCGTCCGCTCTGCCGCGCGGCGGTCGAGACGCGGCCCTCATTCATGTGTCTCTTCAGAAACCCGAGCGCCTCACACACGGACGGATCCAACGTACATGCGCCCGTCTGCCGGGCACGCTGCGTAGGCCCAGGTCTTCGCTAGGTCTTGGTTTTGGAAACTGAGTGGTTCGCGGACCATGCGTTTTGCCGATTCAACCAACAGAAGAAGTGGCTCAGAAATATCAGCTGATGTCACTGCAGTGCCTCTGAACGGGAGGCTCGAGTCCCCACGATGGCAGGATTTTCGATACTAGCTTGTCTTAAGGTCGAATGCAGTCGCTGTCTCGGGGAGAATTCTAGTGACCTGCTGCTCTAATTGGTAGTTTTTTGAGGTTCTATACTAGGCGAATGCCGGAGCAATACCCCCAACAAACAGGCCGAGAACCGCGCGCGATCTTTCCTCCCCTTTTCCTTGCTTACCCACATTTACACTTGCACGCTTACTCATGCACATGCCGGGAGACCGGTTGGAAGCTCACAGCTTGTCCCGGCTGGGGCGTTACCACCGCTGGTGGGAGATACCTTGTTGAGGAAAACCCCG